GGGGCTCAAACTCACGGACCGCGAGATCATGACCTGACCTGGAGTCCGCCGCTTAACCGACTGAGCCACCCAGGCGCCCCGCCCCTAAAATAATTCTTAATAAAAAGTAAAGAATGATGTGTCAATGGGCCTTTAATACTTAGATACATTTTTAAATTATGCTCCTTTAAAAAGACAAAATTATATTATTTAAAAAATTGAGTGTGAACTATATTTTAATAATTATTCACTGTATTTAATAATTATTTTCTGCTGGTGTGTATATATACATATATATAGTTTATACCTGTAGTTTATATATTTATAGACTGTGTGTGTGTGTGTGTGTATATATATATTATACAGATATAATATATATGTAATATATATGCTGTTTTTGGAATTGAATTTAAGTTTTGGTAGAAATACACCCATAAATTTGGCCTGAAATTAATCTCAAAGAGTTATAAAACTTTATTTTTAGATCAGTGTTTGGACTTGAATTTTCCATAGAAACATGTAACAAATGGGATTTGGGTCCCAGTTCAGCCAAGGCACCTCTCGTATGTTGGTGTATTATATTATTTAGACCTAAACTGACTTTTGATTCTTTGCAACATAGGAGGTAGTGGAAAGAGGAGAAAATAATTCATTCTTTCTGTCTTTTATAGATGATGAATCTATACCAAAGTCTAAAATATAGATTTCCTCTCATCCTGCATTTCTTTTACATGTTTAAATTGCTTCTTTTTCTTCTTTTCCATAAGCCATCCTGCTCTTGCTGCCTGAAGTCCATCGCTCCCACCCCCCACACCATGGTGCTGCATGCCAGCCAGTCTTGACCCATTATTTGTCTTATTCTTCCAAAATTATCCTATTCAGTCTTCCCAGTGAACTTAGAGTGGAAGTAACTATATCTACCTGTGAGAAGAGTTGATGCAATTCGCATTATTTTATTGTTTTGATCTTTAAAGAGAATGTTTACTAACTTGTGCATATATTTAAAAACTGAATTCCAGGAGAAAAATTAGTTGTCACAGTTCTTAGCCACCACTTCCAAAGTATTTGAAGCTCTGTGTGTGTGTGTGTGTTAAAAGACACTGAACAGGGGCGCCTGGGTGGCGCAGTCGGTTAAGCGTCCGACTTCAACCAGGTCACGATCTCACGGTCCGTGAGTTCGAGCCCCGTGTCGGGCTCTGGGCTGATGGCTCAGAGCCTGGAGCCTGTTTCCGATTCTGTGTCTCCCTCTCTCTCTGCCCCTCGCCCGTTCATGCTCTGTCTCTCTCTGTCCCAAAAATAAATAAACGTTGAAAAAATTCTTTAAAAAAAAAAAAAGACACTGAACATAAAATTTGCAATCTTAACTATTTTTTAGTGTACACTTAGTGATGTTAAGTATATTCACATGGTTGTGAAACAGATGTTTGGAACTTTTCATCTTGCAAAACTGAAACCCAGTGCCCATTAAACAATAATGCCCCATTTCCCCTCTTGCCAGCCCCTGGTGACTGCCATTCCACTTTGTGTTTCCATGAACTTGGATACTTTAGATACCTCATTAAGTAGAATCATACAGTATTTGTCCTTTTGTGATTGGCTTATTTCATTTAGCATGATGTCTTCATGGTTTATCCAAGTTGTAGCATGTGAAAGGATTTCCTTCCTTTTCAAGGCTGAATAATTTTCCATTGTATGTATATACTGTGTTTTGTTTATCTATTCATCCACTAATAGACATTTGAGTTGCTTCCACTTGTTGGCTATTGTGAATAGTACTGCTATCAATATGGGTATGCAAATATCTTTGCCAAATCCTGTTTTCAATTATTTTGCATATATACCCAGACATAGGATTGCTGGATCATGTGGTAGTTCTATTTTTAATTTTTTGAAGAAACTTCATCATGTTTTCTATAGTACTGCACCATTTCACAATCCCACAGCAGTACACAAAGTGTTCCAATTAATCCATATCCTTACCAACATGTGTTATTGTCTCTTTTTTTTTCTTTTTCTCTTTTTAAATAGTAGCCATCCTAATGGGTATGACTTGATGTTTCATTGCGGTTTTGATTTTCATTTCTTTGATGATTAATCATGTTGAGTATCCTTTCGTGTGCTTTCTAGTTGTGTATTGTCTTTGGAGAAATGTCTATTCAATTCTTTTGGCCATCTTAAAGTCAGATTATTCATTTTTTGTTGTTGAATTGTAGGAGTTCTTTATACATTCTGGCTCCTTATTGGATGTATAATTTGCAAATATTTTCCTTTTTTCATCTTTGCTGCATAGTAGTTTTTTTTTTTTTATTTGTGTAGTCCCACTTACCTGTTTTTGCTTTTGTTAACTGTGCTTTAGTGTCATATCCAAGAAATTATTGCCAGATTCTATGTCATGAAGGTTTTCCACTATTTTCTTCTAGGATTTTTATAATTTTGGGATTTGTGTTTAGGTCTTTAATCTATTTTTAGTTAACTTTTTATATAGCTTAAATAATTGCCTAACTTTATTGTTTTATGTGGATATTCAGTTTTCCCAGTATCATTTATTGAAAAAAATATATGTATACATTTCTGATTGTTTTTGGCACCCTTGTTAGAGATTATTTGCTGTATTTACTAGGGTTTGTTTTTGAGATTCTTATTCTGTTCCATTGGTCTATAGGTCTGTCTTTATACCAGTAACACACTGCTTTGATTACTTTAGCTTAATAATGTGTTTTGAAATCACAATGTGTGAGTCTTCCAACTTTGTTGTTTTCAAAATTTTTTAACTATTTGAGGTTTTATGAAATTCCATATGAATGTTGGGTCTGTTTTTCTGTCTCTGCAAGAAATTATATTGGGTTTTGATAGAGATTGTGCTGGATCTATAGATCATTTTGTGTCATGTGGACATTTTAACAAATTAAGCACTGAATGTCCATGCCATCCATAAGAATGGAATGTCTTTCCATTTATTTTTTTCTTCTTTAATTTCTTTCAACAATGTTTTGTAGTTTTAATTTAGAAGTCTTTCACCTTTTTGGTTGGGCTTATTCCTAAGTACTTTATTCTTTTTGATGGTATTTTAAATGGATTTTTTTTTCTTTTTTCTTTTTAAGTTTTTAATGTTTATTCATTTTTTGAGAGAGAGAGACAGAGACAGAGCAAAAGCGGGGGAGGAGCAGAGAGAGGGAGACCCAGAATCTGAAGTAGGCTCCAGGCTCTGTGTTGACAGACATGGAGCTCGAACTCACAAACTGTGAGATCATAACCTGAAGTCAGACGCTTAACCGCCTGAGCCACCCAGATGCCCCTGGAATTGTTTTTCTTCATTTCCTTTTCAGATTGTTCATTGTTATTGTATGGAATTGCAACTGATTTTTGTGTGTTCAGTTTGAATGCTGCAACTTTGCTGAATTTATTAGTTCTAACTTTTTTTGTGGACTCCTTAAGGTTTTCTACACATAGGATTATATGATCTGCAAAGAGAGAAGATTTCAATTCTTTTTTTCTTATTTTACTTCTTTTTCTTGCCTAATTGCTCTGGCTACAACTTCCAATACTGTGTTGAATAGAAGTGGTGAGAGTGGACATTTCTGCTTTGTTCTTGATCTTAGATGAAAAACTCAATTTTTCATTGCTGAGTATGATGTTAGCTGTAGGTTTTTCATTCATGGTCTTTATGTTGAGATGGTTTCCTTCTATTCCTAGTTCATTGAAAGTTTTTATCTTGAAAGGTGTGAATTTTGTCAAATGAGTTTTCTACATCAGTTAGATGAACATGTGGTTTTTTGTTCTTCATTCTATTAATGCAGATATTTGAAATTTTATATATTTTTTCTATTCTGGATCCAGGGAGTCTGTAAAAGTTTTAGTTGTTTTCATGAATGTAGCCCATCAGCAGATTTGGGTACTTACTTTTAGGGAGAATAGGACTAGATAAATGGGATCTTTATATGCATGGGTAATTTGGAATATAGAGGCTTGTTAACTGGGATTGCCCACTTTTCATTAATAAAAAAATTACAAAATTTTACAAAGTTTCTTTAAAAAGCATAGCTCATTCACTCTTCTCATGTAGATGGAGCCAGTGAAGATTAGTATGTGAAGCCTTTTGTAATCTGTCTCTGGCCTATTGATAGTGCCTCACTGAGGATAGTCAGGAAGAGCCTGCATTACTTAATGGCCTGGATGTGGAGGGAGAGAATTGTTAACTTCCTGACCACAAAGAAAGAACAAAAGAAATGGTGACTTACCCCCTTCTGAATGAGAGGTTACCTCAGTAGAGAGAAGAAGTCAAAATTCATCACTCTGTTGTCTGACTTTGAATATATTCATGCCAAGATGTCCTTGATCTTTTCAAGTTGAACTGTTTTGAAAACTGGAAAAAATCAACCTTTAAAGATTACAAATCTGTTTTTAGAAATAGAAAACAGTGAATACTTTTTGGTGCTGAAGTACTACAGAAATGGCAGCCCTTCACTAATTTGGACTTACCCTATTTAATGTATATGTTGATCCATGAAGTGTAGTTGAAGAATGGCTTTTCTCAATGCTACCCTATTTTATAGCTCTACCTCCCCTTCAATTGCACTGGCCTAGCTGTAGTTGCATCTAATTAAGTATGTGCAAGCTCTCACTTTTGCTAGTCAACTCACATAAATCATTAGTTTCCCTCCCTACTTTTATCTCAGGCAGTATGCATGTGGCATTCTATAGATACTTAAATTTATAGAGTTCCATTCTCTATTTGCATTATCCAGGTTTTATCTAAAAGATCACTACCCTGACCTCGGAGCCAGAGAGGTTATTCATAAAATACTCATAGATCATGTCACTCCTCTGTTTACCATCTTCCAAATATTAACAGTTTTGCTCAGGCTAAGAGTCACATTATCTGTGTGACACTCAAACACTTTAAGGATCCTCCCATCTATGAGCCGTTGAATTTCCTGTTTTTTCTCTCTGGAAGTCTCTACTCCCATTTACCCACAATGCCCCCGCCTTCACTCCCTTCATGTTTGCCCAATTTGTCAACTTCCAAGTGAGTTTTCCTTTGATCTCACTGTTTAAAAGCTACCCCATCACTGGGTAATCAATATCCATCTTCACTTTTTTTTCTCCATAGTACCTGTCACTATCTCAGTTGTCAGTCTTTTGTTTAATGTCTCTCACCCCACACTAAAATGTGAGAATCATAAATGTTTATTAAAGGCTATAAATCCAGACTTACAACAGTGCTTGGTTAGTATTCCCTAAAGGAAAGAATAAGTAGAGGTGAAATTTCCTTTAACTTGTATTTAATATACAATGTATTGATTAAAGTTTTGGAAAGGTGTATCATGTCTTTCATCTTATTTAAAAATTTTTTTGTTACAATTGTATTTCTTAATTTCAAATACTTTTGGGGTACCTGGATGGTTCAGTTGGCTGAGCTTCCAACTCTTGAATCTGGCTTAAGTCATGATCCCACATGCAATTGAGCCCCATGTTGAGCTCTGCACTGAGCATGGAGCCTGCTTAGGATTCTCTCTCTCTCTCTCTCTCTCTCTCTCTCCCTTTTTTGTCCCTCCCCTGCTCTTGCTCTCTCTCTCTCTCTCTCCCTAGAATAATAATAATAAAACAACTAATTTCAAATACTTTTATAGAAAGCTTTTCTTTTTTTGAAATCCTTCTTACCACTGGAATAGTTTCCCACTCTAACTTTAAGCTCAGTTCTTCCTTTAGAGCTATAAATGTTGATATTCATTGCAAAATTAAGATTATCTTTAGTGCAGTATATTCAGAATTTTTAGTTTTGAATATTAAGAAGATGTTGAGTTTTATCACGACCTTGGTCTCACAACTCAGTGTCTCTAAGTTAGCATCATGGGTGCATTGCTAGTTTTATCCTCTTAATTTTACCACGAAAATTTTATTTTCTAAGTTTTTTAAAAATTTTTTTTAACGTTTATTTATTTTCGAGACAGAGAGAGACAGAGCATGAACGGGGGAACCCAGAGAGAGAGGGAGACACAGAATCTGAAACAGGCTCCAGGCTCTGAGCCGTCAGTACAGAGCCCGACGCGGGCTTGAACTCACGGACCGCGAGATCATGACCTGAGCCGAAGTCGGACGCTTAACTGACTGAGCCACCCAGGCGCCCCTAAGTTTGTTTTTTAATGTTTATTTTTGAGAGAGATAGAGAGTGCAAGCAGGGAAAGGGAAGAGAGAGAGGGTGGTACAGAATCCGAAACAGGCTCCAGGCTCTGAGCTGTCAGCACAGAGCCTGACGTGGGGCTCGAAGCCACAAACTGCAAGATCATGACCTGAGCCGGAGTCTGATGTTTAACCGACTGAGCCACCCAGGCACCCCGAAAATTTTATTTTCTTTCTGTGTGTGCATTTATCAAAAAACTATTTTGCTTTAAACTGTTGTTTCTAAAATTTGACACTTTCTTTTTTCTTGTTCTTTTAATATATACTTTGATACTTGGACTTCTAAGAATACATGGGTTAATTAGTAATTTAACTAAAAAATAACATATTTTGCTTGACTTTTACAATCTTAATAACCTTAAAAATATGTATTATACATTGTCCTTAAAAATAGATTTCTATGAGGAAAATTTGTTTTACAATATTGTAATCCAAGGGTTCTTAGATCTGCTTAAAATACTAAAATAAAAACCATGGTTTACTTGGTGTGGGAAGCTATGTAGAATTCTAGATTTTAAAAATCATTTCTAAATTAAAGTGAATGTCATCATTGACTTTATGCTAGGTATACAGTTTAACACAACTTTTTTTTTTCCTACTTCGATGAACGTGTTTTGAAAGTCTGGCGCACTATTTAAATTTCAACACTGATGCTTTTTCCTTTTAATTGACACGATTTTGAAAAAAATTAATCTTATACTTGTAAGGAATGTAATTGTCTTAATTTGGTGACTTATGTGTGGCTTGCTTCTGATTTTTTTCAGGGGGATGTTTCTGGATACTATTCTCCCATCTCGTGATGATAATGGCATACGTCCTGCAATCGGTCAGCGAACCCGTTTAAGCAAAGGAGATATTGCACAGGCAAGAAAGCTGTATAGATGTCCAGGTATTGCACCATACGAAAACAGAGCCATAATTGTTCCTGATTGCGCTCTTCCAGATGAATAAGCCACAGTTTACTGAACTGTTTACTTGTGTCTCTCCATGCTGGCAAGTGACGTATTCAGTTCAAAGTCAGTTAATCATAAAATGAAATGAGAGAACTCTGGAACACCCATTGATATAATTAAAAACAAATTGCTAGAAATCAAATTTAAGGCACAGGGATAGTATGTTTTATTTGTTTTAACTTAACAAGTAAAAGAGCAAAAAAGCATGATTGTTTCATAGTTGTTATTAAATAGTTGCATGATTTCATAGTCAAATGTTGAATTTTCTTGCCAACGTAAAAAGAATATTTTTTATTTCAACTTCAGAATTGAGTACTAAATGATCTTTTTTCTTGCAAATACTATCATTAATGGTATACAAATTCAAATTTTATTAGTTTGAATTTTATAACTTTTTTTGAAAAAACTGAGTTCTAGCCATGTTGCTAGTGAGTTACTGTGTGTTTTGCTACTGGATAAAGTTGTGAAAAAGAGATTAAGGGAAGGTGTTAGTAAGAATGTTCCAAGACTCAATCGTCTAAGAGAGAAAAAAGGGTTTGCTTCCAAACTGGAAATACTGCATACTTTATGCTCCTCCTCCATAGTCAAAATCCTTTGAAACATCCTAATTCTAAGAAATATGTTTAGCTTTGGTTAACACAGCTTTCCCCCAAATTTTGGTTCATGTATATATGAATGTATGTGTGGTGTTTATTTTTTTAATGTAAATTTCCACAGGAAAGATGGATTTATAAGTGAATGGCACCACTGTGACAAAAGAAATGAATGATCCTTGGGTAATTTCTGTCAATACTGGATGTACCATACTTTTTAACTTTGAGTGTAGAAAATTTGTGGGAAAATTGTGTGACTAATAGCACTTAAATGAGTAGAAAGTTCACGTATAAAACCAGTTTGATTGTCTCTCTAAAAACATATATACATATATATAATACTTAGAAAGCAAACTGAAGATACATTTGCACACTGAATTGTAAGAAAGGCAGTGAGTAGGAATCAAAAAAGTAGTAAAAATTTGTGACACTATAATTTTCAGCCTATAGGTCTTAAATATTTAAGTTATTAATAGGAAAATAAGTATAGTTTTCACTTGAGATTTTCATTATGTACATACATAAATAGGCTATTTTTTTCTTTAAATGCAGTAATAATGTGTAAATTGGTTTGTTAATACAGTAAAACCACATTCATGAAGGTACCATCATCAGTGATAAAGATAGCTTGTGTTTTTAAAGCAGTATAAAAGGCAAGTTGCTTATTAATGGCATGATGAAGACAGAGCTAAGAAATATATGTATTAAAAAATAAAAATATATTAACTTTTAGTTCACGAAATCTTTGAGAATGACTTTTTTCCTATCTTGGACTTTTTAATGCCCACCAAACAAATCCCTCCTTGTCTCTCTTTTTTCTGTCTCTTGCTCTGTTTCTCTCTCTCTCTCTCTCTCTCTCTCTCTCTCTCTCTCTCTCTCTCGGCCAGTGTGTGTGTGTGTGTATTTCTCTGCAGTCCTTAGCTTTGAGCCCTGTATATGGTTATGTATTTAACATTCTTCATTACTTTACAATGGGGAGTCCTAATGATATTGGTATAAATATAGGCCAAATAAACTTAAGTTACACTGATGTAGTAGGTTTACCAGTAACTCCAAGAATATCAGTGGAATAATGTTAAAGAGTCATAACTGTACATAGAAGACTAAATAGGATGACTTATTTGAGAATCACCTGGGAAGAAAGTGTTTATAAAATGAAATCTGGTTGTGTCTTTTTTATTTGTACTTTTTAAAAAAGTGTATTTATTTTGAGAGAGAGAGAGAGAGAGAGGGCAACCAGGGGAAGGGACAGACAGAGAGAGAGAGAGAGAGAGACAGAGAGACAGAGAGCAAGAGAGAGAATCCCACGTAAGCTCCGTGCTCTCAGCATGGAGCCCGATGCAGGGCTGGAACTCATGAACCCTGAGATCATGACCTGAGAAACCAAGAGTGGGAAACAACCCACTTGAGCCACCCAGGTGCCCCTAGCTATGTCTTGGTTTTAATACAGAAAGAAGGTATAAAACTGCATATTCCTTTGGAGTTTCTCTTGTTTTCTTTTGTTAGAAATTGCTCGTGAATAGATCCAATCAGAGGCATTTGGCTACACCATTCCAACTCTTTACTTTGTATCAGTTAATGCTGAAAGCTCTGTTAGATCTGCATTTTATAAAGGTATTCCTTGAAAGTTTAATCTTGAAAGGAATGCCGACCTGATTCACACTTAAATATGTGACGTTGTGGCTTTTATGGTCTGTGATAAGTCCAAGGGGCCCTGGGTCCAAGAGGGCAGACTTCTAATGGGCAGGTTATAATTCGCAGACTGAAAATATTGTTGCTGTTCCACTAATAACATAGGAAATGTGTTTTTATCTATTCGAGATGAACAGCATTAAAATATATGTATTTCTAATTCCATTAAAACAATATGCACTGTTGTTTTTTATGAGACTTTCTAGCTGATAAAGAACGTGTAATCCGTTATTATGTTTGTCTATTTATATATGCCAAAGATATAAATTAGATTTGTATGTGAAACCTGAATTACTTATGCAGTCGGTGCCTACTAATTATGAAAAAGCTCCCTTCAGGAATAAAGTTGTGTTTTTAAGGTGATGGAACAAAGATAACGTTTCCTTTGGTTTAGAATTATTTTCATTGCCATTTCTTGTTCTTTTAGAAGCAGACAAGAACAATCTCCTTATGCATTGTTAATATAAAGAAAGAATATGATCCTTCACAGCCCTGGCACTCTTCTGACATAAGAGCTGGTCATCCATCGCTAGGCCACGTAGGCCCAGAAAGGGGAAGGAAGGGAAACAAAGGGAGAGCTGCTAAACCCCAGGATTCATTAGGTTTCAGGACAGTGCTGCTCAAAGGCCAATCCTGTGTCCTTTGGACAGCTGCCAAGTCTTTCTAGCATTAAGGAACCCTAAAAGGATGCCCACTAATGCTGCTTTCAACACCTGTCATTAAAATCCCTTGCATCCTACATCCTGTCAGGACCAGATACACCCATGTAGTGGTGGATTATTATTATTATTATTATCATTATACTCTTCATCTTCCCTTTATGCCAGTAATCAGCAGTTTGCTTCTGAAGGAGATCTTCTCTAGGGCACGTGAGTTGGAGTGGATATTTCTTCTCTTCATAAATCAGTAATGTGTGCTATTGTTTCTCTCTTTGTTTTCCTTGTGAGTCTCATTTTCTCAGTGTATTTTTCTACTTTGATCTAATCATAGGATTTCCTTTCCTTTTTTATTTCTAAACTCTTTAACAGTCACTGGTCTTCATTTGCATTTTCTCTTAATTTAGTTTTTATCTAGTGCCATAACCCCCTTTTTTTTTTACTTAGTACTTATACCCACTATCAACCCTAATATTCTCTCAGTAAATCTTCCCCAACTAAATATGTCAAGTAACCTAATCAAATCAGGAAAAATATAAAATAAATGGTTATGTAAAAAGAAAGAGCCTTCTGAGAATTAGAATCTTTTTTGTTACATAGAAGCATACACGTATTCACACATCAGCACACGTACAGTCCGTGTTCACAGATTTAAAAGCTCTCAGTGCTGGTACACAACAGTATGTGTGCAGGATATCCCTGTCTATGGATGCGCATTTGTGTGGAGGTTTTAGGGATGGAAGGCCAGGTTCAGCAAGCATAGAGTCTGAATATTAAAAACTTCACACTGCTTTAAACATTTGTTTCATTAAATTTACCTTTAAAATTGATATAAGGTTCTTGGCAGTTTGCCAAAGCATTAATCTCTTGGTTCCTCATCTAATTTTCTGAGATTCCAGGTAGTATATACCTTCTATACAGGCTTGTATACACACAATTCTTGGCTAAAATACTGCCCCACATGCAAAAGAATTAACTCAGCCATTTTTTCCCGCATTTATTCGTGGACTCATTTATTCATCTCCCTGTAAACATTCCCTAGTTCCGTGGATGGTACCGTGCAGAGGTCCTCAGACAGCCGAAGCCAGAACTGTGGTGAGCATTCTCACCTCGTTCCTCCCTCACTTTTTGCAGTGAGTCAGTCCTGCTGCCTTCCTAAAATCTTGGATTCTTGCACATCCCCTCGTCCAGGGAACCTCCGCTTTTGTCTGGGTTGCCGAAATGCCTCCTAATTCACCTCTTGCTTCCATTCTTACATCTCTTTATTTCTCTGGCCATGTTTCTGTTAAAGTGGCTTTTTAAAAAATGTTTATTTATTTTAGTTTTGAGAATCCAAAGCAGGCTCCAGGCTCCCAGCTGTCAGCATAGAGCCCGATGCAGGGCTTGAACTCAGGAACCTGAGGTCATGACCTGAGCCTAAGTCGGATGCTTAAATGACTGAGCCACCTGGGAGCTCCTAAAGTGGCTGTTTAACATGCAAGTGTTGCTCTGCCTATTTGTAGGATAAAGGCTAATTTCCTTTCCATTATGTCACTTCAAGATTGTTTCCACTCTTCCCTGAGTGTTTTCTCTAGTTAGTTCTCTACAGCCTAGTTTGTCACCTCTGCTTCGTCGCACTCCTGACACCATAGTATGCTTGTCTCTGGCCTCTTCCTCCAGCCAGAAGGCTGGCAACTGCATCCTGGTAAATCCTAGCTCATATTGAGGATTCAGCTCCTATGTCACGTCCTCCTTAAAGACTCTCTGGTCTCCCAGAACTCTACGGCGGTAAATGCCTTATTTGATCCTGGTCTTTGTATCTTACTCATCTAATCATCAGTTCATTTGCCATTTCCCACACTAGAGTATAAGCTGTCGTGGGCTTGGAGTTGGGGTTTCCCTCTTGGTGTTCTGAATCTGATGTAGATTAAGTGCTCAATAAATAGTTGCTGTATGAATGAATGAGTCACCGTTAACCCGTGAAAGGCACCGTGCCAGATGCTGTGGCCACAGAAG